AATTGTATCTAAACGCAGTAAACAAAAATAATAAAGATTAAAGAATAGCGTAATAAATATTTATAAAAATATATAAATCCTAATATCTTAGTTAAAAATGTACAAAAGTTAACCTATGTCATCGATAGATGGTGTTGCTCGATGGTGTAAATTATTTATTAAATTTTAAGTGGGTGTGCTTATATTTTTTTCCTTAACTCTCAAATTTACTCGGCGGTGTATCTACAACATGGTAAATCAAATTTTGAAATAAAAAGAGCACTTATTCACTAAAAAATCAGTCAACACGGTGTTGATAATTAATAAATCTTTTAGTCGTAATCAAAAAATCTGTTTAATTTCTCTAATATATTATTATTAGAAAAATAAAATATAAATCTAAATATTACGTGTTCGAAATAGGTTATTTCGCTTCGACTTTAAAAATGCATAAAATAAATTGTTTTTATAAAATATCCACTGACGTATATCGTGATTATGATATTTTTTTAGAATAAATGTGACAAAAATGCATCCAGTCCACACAATAGGTACTCATAAACATCTACATCTATCATCGATTAAGAATCAAATTGCAAATATTTTGTGACCCTTGAGGACTCTGTTACTAGGCGAGTGCTTCGAATCTGGCGAATGGTTTCAGCATAAAGGCTCTCCGATTCTGTACAATCACCACACAGCAACAAAGCTTTTAGCGATCGCAGACAATTTATGTCTATTTGATTGGGTTGTCATGAGCTCATGAGGATAGATAAAAAAGTATATTTTTAAATTATTTTCATTATTGTGTCAGGTACATATTATGTAACCAGAAATAATATAATTTTACCTATTATATAACAATTTGCTTACTGTATCAATAATTTACCTATTCATTTTAAGGTGAAATTCTGTTTTAGTAAAATAACGAAAATGTTCTGTTTTATCTATAGTTGTTACTTTACACATTTCTTCTTAATTAGTATCTACTTTGTTTATATATTTTTTTGACGTAGGTTTGTAGAAACAGCAGTACTTTATTGTATAATATGAAGTTGTTTGCATAATACACAATGCTTACGACAAAAATTTATAAAATAAAATATTCTATATTAAAAATTTTATATTTAGTATGTTAACTTCATAGACCTATGTCACATATCACATTTTTTAGGTATTTAAAATACTTTTCTCAAAAAATTAATTATTGGATCGAACCTATTCAACATTTTTGACCGTTATTAATGTTATTTGATCTATTGGTGTGATATAAAACACAATAAAATATTCCTTAATATTCTGGTTTTTTATTTATTTTTATTACAACATGTTAGTTTTATCTGTTCGTAACTAATTAAGTTTTATCAAATAATGTCAATAAATATTGTTAACGTTAGGTTCATCGTGATTAAAACTGAAGAAGTACGAGTCGACAGCTTATAAAACATTTGTACTCCTTCTTATTTTAGCATTTTATTATTATTTCAATATAATAAGAAAATAGCAAAAAAAATCAAGTAACTCAATTTTTTATATACTGCTTTAAAGTTTCAATCTAAACAGAAAGATGTCAATTCTTGGTGCGGTTTATTCAAAATATCTTTTACATAGACGCAGACAATGTATTTCTTCTCTGAATCCGTGTTTTGATCACTTCTTCCATCCGGTTATATATATAATGATTTATCATTACCACGAACATCATGGTATTCACCGGCTTATTACAGGTACGATGTTACTCTTCGTCCATTACACAAGACAATAATCAATAAATATTGATATCAAATAATATAAATTTTACTATGGAACATGTTATAATAATGTCAAAAATTATTATAACTGATTTTTTCATTTGCTCGAGTCGATACGTGCGTCTTTTTCCGATAAGCGCGTTCAAAACGTATCTGTCTCGTTCGAGCGCAAGTTGCAATTAAATCTTTGGATTAGTTAGCTAGTTTAGCTTACAACACACGGCGGAACGATGCTTAAGTAGTTTATAAGAAATTTTTTGAAATACATAATGTGTGCTGCATATACAATATGTAACGTAATTAACGCACACCCCCAGACACCCCAATTATAACATATGTATTATGATTATAACATAATGTACATGTTATAATCATAATACATACACTGAATTTTTAGTTAAACATTTTTATGCACTGATTATTTATCAAATTAGTTATACTAATTCCGGAAGAATGTTGTGGTCACAGTACAAATCCACGAACACAAAGACTTTAACCATGGGATGATATGAGCTTAATATAAAAATAAAGTTCATTTTTCTTTATTTTTATTGTATGACAAAATTAGTAATAATACAAATAAAACTGCTCTCTTAAAAGTCTTATTGCCTTAAGCTACGGTCCATTTCAGTTTGTTTTGACTGTACAGATTTAGTGTGACTGTAATTTACGTAGTTTTAATTATTTTTGGGATAAAAAAATTACCTATATTAAAAATGATAGGAATCGATTCAGTAAACGATTCTGAACAAACTACTTTCTCAAAGTGCGTTAATTATGTTACATGTTGTATATCCGTTAAAGTAATTGAACCCCAAAATAAAATATGCGACGCTTAATGTTTATTGCTTGATTTAATTATATTACTTGTAGGAGTTACTAGGAGCGTTCAATAAAAAGAAAGAATCAGTATTTTATAGGTAATATAGTACAAATCTTTTAGTGTAATACAATTAAAATGTCTTTCTTCTAAGCCGGAAATTCTTATGAACGTTTTATCCTGGCTCATAAAAATTCCTGTACAGCAGTGACTTTCACTTCGTCGTCTTCAAATCATTGTCTCTGATATAAATATAGATGCAAGACCTGGTGGACATATACATAAACATAAACACTCACGCCTGTCACCCAGAGGGGTAGGCAGAGACTACAGACTTCCATTTGGCACGATCCTGACACACATCTCTTGCCTCCTTCACATCCATACACCTACGCATACATGCTCGTCGGTTAAGGGTACTCCTAATTTGGCCCGTTTTCAATAAATCGCCAATTTGATCGATTAATTTTCGCCTAGGACGTCCCTTTCCGACTCTGCCATTCACTTCTGCACCGTAAATTTTCTTTGTCACTCTTTCCTCATTCATTCTTTCCACATGACCAAACCACCGAAGCATTCCTTTCTTAATCCTGGTCACAACATCATCTTGCAAACCACACTCTTCTCTTATTACACAATTTCTTACCCTGTCATTCAGATTCAGCCCTAACATACTCCTTAACGACCGCATTTCTACTGCGTTTATTCTACTCTCGTGCTTCTTCTGCCACACCCAATTTTCACTACCATACGTTAAAGTAGGGACCAACACAGCATTGTGAATTGCCATACGTGCCTTTTTCGACACATTTTGACTCTTCACAATAGAGTGCAAGGCCCGATTTACTCTATTTCCCGCATTCACTCGTCGTTCTATATCCTTATCATATCTCCCATCCCTGCTAGATACGCAGCCCAAATATACAAACTCATCTACTTGCTCGATCAACTCCCCTTCTATTCTTATTTCACAAATCGTTTTACTTTCTTCTCTTTCAAAAACCATAACCTTCGTCTTACTTGCGTCTTTCATACCCCTTTCTTTTAATGAACCGTTCATTAATGTAACCATCATTTGCAACTCGGCCGCCGACGACGCGAGAATAACTTGATCATCGGCGTTCAAAAGGAATTTGACGGTTAACTCACCCTCTATATTTTACCTGGTGGAATATAGAGAATACTCAAGAGAAACAAAACAATATTTCGGAGATTGCCTCGCTGTTTCTCGCGGACTTCGGATATTCTGTCAATGCTATCCCTTGACTATCCCATAAAAGAGAGCCCATCTTAACGTCGGAAGGACACCTTATATTTTTAAAGATGATATGATTGTCTTTGCCAAGTCATAGACTGTAATTTTGTTTCGGTCTCGTAATCTACGTTATTTCCACGTCAAGCCACGTTTTGCGAGCCAAAAAATGATCAGTCTTGTTGCAAGAGTTCTAAATAGTTTCGGGAAATATGTCTATGTGTCGTTTCTGCTTCGCTTGTTTCTGCTCATTGGAGAGCATTTTGCGAGAATATTTTTTCATTCCGAGGCTTTTTCCATTTTTTCCAAAACACTCACAAACAAATCCCAAAAAGTCTATAATAATCAAAAGGTTATCATTTTTTTAGGTATTTATATATATTCCAGCTTTACCAACCAGTATTTACTTTTTTTTAAATTCCAGAGTTTGTACCGCATTCTCACAAATAACATCCCTCGTATTGCTAAATTAATTACATTGTCTGTCATATTCTTATAAAACTAGTTCACATTATTTGTAATGTTGTTCTTTCACAATTTTTATTGCTGTTGTATTTTTTTAATTGTTTAGATTTTAAATAGATATTATTTAGTTTTAAAAATGATTAGTATTGTTAAATATAAAGGAATTGCGATTTAAGATCTATATTTAACGTGTTGATGTGTGGTTTTAGTGATTTCTGTTTATGAAATGTAATGTTATGGTAATTTAGAAAATTTAAGATATAGCCTCTTTGTCAATTAAAGCAAATGAAATACATTCTGGTATTTATTGATTCAATATGTAAATTGTATTACATTCTATTTTATTATGCCAAGTTGATTTTTTCTGTTGCAGTAGCAGTAATAGGAATGTTCTACTGTTGGTACTTAAAAGGTAATAATAATGTGTATTTATGTTTGGAAACAAGAAAATTACGACAGGAGTAGTGGAGTAAATGGTAATGGAGGGGAAAGATCAAGTGCATCTATATATTATTGTATCCTTTTAAGATTTATAATTGTTCTTTTAGTGTATAGTGCTCAAATTTATTCCATATATCTTCACATGCCGATAATATATGGCTATTTTTATTACAAACAACAAAGTGACTTTTTATACAGGTTCGATTCGCAAGACAATAGTTAGATTAAATACCGAAACAAATACCACGATATAAAATAATAAGTCATTGATAAACATGTGTTTTATTTGCAGATATGGACCAAGAAATAATGTTCCACCACCGTCATTTCCCCCTATGGGCGTGAAACCAATACCTCCTTTAGTGAATATTCCTATGCAAACTGAACCACCTCCAGGATATAGAGGTCATTATGATGCACCGCCCTTCGAAGATATACCACCTGGTGTCGAACCTCCAGTGCCAGGATTTGAACCATCACCATTTGAAAAACCCTCATTTGGACCGCCTGGTTCCTTAGAGCGTGATAGAATACCTCCTCCTAATTACAGAGATCCTTATAGACCTCCTCCATATGTTGATGGACCTGCAGGTTACCGTGATATGTCACTGCCACCTATACAAAATGAGATCCCGGTTCATGTTGGTGATCAACCTTCACGGTATCGTGATAGCTATAGATCTGGGCATCTTTATCGTGATCAAGGTCCAGTGCCTTATAGAGATGGACAACCTTATAGGGAGTCAGGTCCACAAGCACCATATCGTGATGGTAATTTTCGTGGAGGGCCACCGCCTTTATTCCGCGATAATTCTTTCCGTAATGTACCGTATAGAGACGGTAATTTCAGGGACAATATGCCTCATAATTTTCGCGAACCCGGTGCACCGTATAGACCACCAAGCGCTGATCCGAGAGAACCAATACCACCAAATTTCCACGATCTTAACTATCGTGATGGCTATAGGGAAGACAGTAATGCGGGCAGAGATCATATGCGACCTAGTTTTCGTGGCAATGTACGTAGTAGAGGAGGTTCAAGACGAAATCCGAATATTGAGCACGATAGACATAGGGAAAGAGAAGGACGTGAAAGGGAACGATTTAATGAAAATAGAGACCCATCTGATAGAGCTGAAAGACCACGAGACGTTGAAAAACGCACTGTTTATGATAAAAGAGAAGTACGTGACGAGCGCACGCGTGAACATGACAAAAATCGAGACTACGACAAAGAACGGGAACGAGGTCACGAAAAAGTTACTCCTGATAAAAAAATACGTACCTCGCCTAAACGCACTCGGGACGCACGTGAGAAAAAACGTAGTGAATCAAGAGGTCGTTCAAGAGAACGTGACCGTGAGAGTCGTCGTGAGAAGAAAGAAGATAGAATTCGCGATAAGAGTTCTGCTGAAAGAAGCAGAGATCATAAGGATAAAGACAAGGAGAAGAAAATAAAGGATAGGAAAAAGAAAAAAAGAGAAAAGGAAAAGGATAATGAGAAGAAAAGGAAACGTGACAAAAAGGAAAAGAAAGAAAAGGATATAGTTAAAAAGGACGACGAAAATTTAGAAAAGTGTGATGAAAGCAAAGGGGATACAAAAGAACCAGACAATGATGACTCATTAAAACCTATCACAATGAGCACAAATAAGGTAGAAAATCATCTGCCTGCAGAAACAAAGAATGAAGGTAAGTCTGAGTCTATAGTTGAAAAACCTAACGATGATCTTTATGGCGATGAAGCTGCAGAAGCTGTTGATAAAGAAATAATACAAAATTATGTAAAGACTGAGAATAACGAAGAATCGTTAACAGAAAAAACTGTAGAATCAAGTACCAAAGAGGAACCGTTTGATGGCATAGAACTACAAGCTCCGACTGAAGAACTAGAAGAAGATATTGAAGGTACCGGCCTAAGTAAAGAAGTGCTTGCTCCTTTACCAGAATTATCTAAATGGGAAGTAGAAGAAGACAATATAGAGAAAACTAAGGAACCAGGAGAAATTACCTCACCTGAAGAAGAGGAAGAAAGTGGTAAAGTTACATCTGAGGTTATCAAGCGAGCAGAGAATGCTATTTTTGCAAAAGCAATCAATTCATTGCGCCCTATAGAAATTAAGAAAATAAGTAGTGATCGATTAAAGTTATACGGTGATGAAACTCAACAAAAAAGTGCTTTGAATAACATTCAGATTACTGTTCCAGTAGCAGATTCTGATCAAAGATCTATTGAATTGAACGACAGAAAAAGGCGATATTCTAAAACTCCACCCCCTCGATTATCTGTCAAAGAAAGGTTAGGAGGAAAAGTGGAAGATATCCGTAGAACTAGAGAAATGCGTGTCGTACAAAGTACAGTGGAACGAGTAAAGTCAAGATCTAAAACTCCTAAAAAGGAACAAATGTATCGTAGGGTGACGGTTGACAGAGATAGAGTACGCAAACCTGATTCCATGAACAGAATAGAAATATCCAAAGCTGAAAGACGTATTGCACCGGAAGATGCCAGGGGTGAAGAATCTTATCGTGGTAGTGATTACAAGAAAAGAGAGTTTGATAAAGATAATAAAAATGAGAAAAAGCCTAACGCTAGCGAGAAATTCGAAATGCGTAGTCTTAGTCAAGATAAAAATCCTAATAGTGAAGTGAAAGGAACTAGCGTTGAAATTGACCGAAAGAAATCTATTTTGGATGAAGCGCATTTTGAGCCTGATTATGATGAGACCGTGGAATCTGATACCGAACCAAAAGAGGAGGGTAATAAAAAACGTGAGAGATCAGTATCTCCTGCTGAACTTAGTGATCCGAAAAAACTTAAACTCGATGAAACAATTAAGTTGGATTTGACCAATGTCAAGAAGAAAAAAGATACTGACAGTGAATCTTCAAGTGATTCTGACGAAACGTCGTCGTCGTCTTCTTCAGATGCGCGGAGGCGTAAGAAGAAGAAAAAACGTAACAAGAAGAAGAAAAAACGCGCTGCGAGTGACAGTGACACTGACTCGGATTCTAGTTCTGATGATCATAAAAAGAAGAAAAAGAAGCGTAAGCATAAGAAGAAGTCTAGTAAAAAGAAGAAAAAATCTAAGCATAAATAAATCACTTAAATGAACGAATATTATTTTTTTATTAGCTTAGGTAATTCTCAAACATTTACCTGTAATTTATAGTTCTTCATAATATAAACAAATGCATTTTGGCAGTAGTAAGCGACTTTTCTTGTATTTCATACATTTCTGATATGTCGTGTTATTAAGTAATAAAATAAACTTTCATTAAAATAAAATGTTTTTTTTTTAATAATAACACAGTATTATTATAAATTTAATGAAATTAATTTTTTACGTAGTAAAGCCATGCTGCAGCTATAACACTGAATGCGAAACCACACACGAATGGGTCGGCTCGACTGGGAAAGTGTTTCATATAGGAAAAGACGAGAACTGAAGATCCTTTTTACTGGTAACGAGCTATTCCAACTTAGAATGTGATGTAACCGTAAGGAATAAACTGTATGAAGAATAATATATTACAACAAACTTTATCATAATATTTTTATATCAGACATGAAGGTTTCATCACGATGTTTTCTTTCATTGCCGGGCACGTGAAATCATAAAATCAAACAAAATGCAACGTTACATGCGTTGCATTTTTTTACTCTAAATATGTATTCTCTAGTATATGATGATATATCGAGAAAAACAACAACATCCGATTCTTCTCTGGAAAAAGCCGAGTGTATATCAGAGGTAAAAACAGCCAAGCTATCTAGCGTGCTCAGCCCCTTTCGAAATCCAAACTGTGATTTGGCCAGGAGACCTTTATTTCCAACAAAAGTTTTACAACAACAAATACAGTAAATATTTTGCACAAAGTTAATGATAGTGCAATAGGACGGTAACTACAACCATCACTAGGATTTTTGTCTGGTTTTAAAATGGGGATGATAATTTGCATTTTCCAATCATTAGGGGCTATTCCTGTAATAAATATGTTATTAACTAATCTAAAAGATTGCTAAGATTTTGATCTGGTGTAAATGGAGTATGGGATTCCGTGGTGACGAATCATTAAGGTTTTGAACAACCAATTCAAATTCTTCATTCGAGAAAAATTCAATAAAAGTTGAAGTATTAATGTTTACTCCAGGTCGGGTTATCAATGGTTCACTAAAACATAATTCCTCAAAGAGGGAGGCAGGGGAACCCAAGGAAGAGCAAGCTTATCAGCAAATGAATTGTACCAAATAGAAGCGTCACATTGCGATGAATAATTATGATCGTTATATACAAAGAAATTCCGTGGATCATCCACGGAATTTCTTTGTATTCTTCCATAATATAGAAGCAGGAGAGCGGGGTGAAAGATTTTTACTAAACCTAAGCCAACCCATCTTTTTTTATCTCCTAACAGTTTTAGTGTTTGAGCTGCTATTTTTTTTATAATTTAAAAAGTTTTCAATAGACATATTAGAAGAGTATAGACGTTCAGCTTGTTTTCGTTTTTTAACACTGAGTGTGCATTCCTCATCCCACCATGGGGAAGAATTTGGTAGGTAGAAGGCGAAATTTTTCGTGTGAAACATGAGTCTGCGGTGAGTAAAATGTACTTAACAAAGTTTTTGTAGTTTGTCTCTATACCATTAGAGTCACTATTATAAAATCTAGAGAGTACCGAATCTGACAACGTTGAGAATTTAGCCCAGTCCGCTCGTTTTATATTATATTTTAACAACGGAGAAAAAACTCTAATTGGTATTAAGCTGTTGGCTCATGAAAATAATATTGGGTAATGATCGCTATCATATGAGTGAGATAAAACTTTCCAATTAATACGGGATGTAAGATTTGGGCTACATAAAGTTCAATAACACTTTTAGGATTTTGAGATAGATATACTCTCCTTGTTGGCTATCCATGATTTAAAATGCAAATATTAAATTCATCAAACGATTCTATTAAGAGATAGCCAAAAGTATTATTTCTGCATGAGCCCCATGAGACATGGCGGGCATTAAAATCACCTAGTAATATAAAAGGAGGAGAGATGAAATTATTAGGTTTAATTCAGTGATCAATGATGGATGTGATATCATTACATTTACAAACTACAACTTTTCATTCCGCACTATGTTCAGGAAGTGAAACCTTGATAAATGAATGTAACCTATTAACTAGGATTACAGCAATGGCGTAACTATCTTCCCTGTCTTTGCGAAGGCAGGCAAAAACAGGAATTTGTTTCTAAGCCAAACTTCTTGATAATAGAAACGGGTTGTATTTGTTGATAACTTAATACTGCGACAGTTCTATTGAAGAATCGTAGCCATGCTTATTTATATTATTTAAGAGCATCAACAGTATCTTAAAAGACTGGGTTAAATTATGATATACATGATACACATAAGTGTAAAGTAAAGTTACAGCCTATATACATCCCACTGCTGGGCACAGGCAACCCCTCATTTCTGAGAGGGTTTCCACATAAGTGTGGATATAAGTAAATCTATTAAATTTTAGTTTGGGGGAGTATGGCTAATATTATCTTTAGGGTAAGCCCTTCCATTATGAAGAGAAGTTCTTGGGTTTTGGATCATGGATTCATGGGCTGTATGATCATATTCATGATCGGATGCTGGAGAACGTGATTTCCTATTTATGTAGAAAGTCTTTTTTATTAATTCTTATTACTAGTATTAGAATTTGGACTTAAAGGAATTTTGCTTGCAATATCTGAATAAGCTCGTTTTGATGGACGGACTCTTACAGATGCTTCACCATAAGAGATATGTTCTTGTGACGTAATTACTTTAATATATTTTTGTCTATTAAATTCTGGACAGGATGAACTAATAGCTGCGTCATTACCAGTACAGTGAAGACATGTAAACGAGGTAACTCCACATGTTTCTCCAACATGAGGTTGTCCATATAACAACGAACGATTATAACAAGGAGGCTTAGATCTGTATTTAGACTTAACATGTCCAAAACGACAGCAGTTGTAACATTGTATTGTAGCTAAGAGGAAGGTTCTACATGATATGAAGTGAAATAGTCAAAAAACATGTGAGGGTAGTAATTTACCGGAGAACGTATATAACGATGGTTTGTGTTGGGATCCACTCAACAGAGTTGTCTGCTTTAATAACTTTACGGTTTAGACGACAAGCGCGAATTATTTCCGTAGAAGAAGGATTTTCTGATGCAGGAACGAATTCATCCATACCTATATGGACTGAAATACCTCAAATGATACCCATTCTCGTAATAGCACAGGTAGGAATTACGGCTACAAAATTTGCTTTAGCAAGTAATGGATTTATAACAAAGTCGTTAGCTAGTTGGGATGAAGAAAATTCAATAGAAGTTCGATTGCGTCCTATGCTCTTAACCACATTTTTTTTAAATTCCCTGAATATTATTTTGATAAATAAATTGACCCACTTTAATTGGCTTAATTGATGTTCCCAAGGAGGGCTCCACTCACGGTTTCATAATGTGAACAATAAAAGGTGCACTGTCATTACTATTGTAGCGTTTCTTTTCTTCAGATAAAGGATGAACAAATATATTCTGTATGGCTGCTGAGGGAAGAGAAGATACTTTTTTCTTAGGTTCTAAATTTAAGGACGATAAATTATAAGCTTTACGTTTCACAGGATTAACAGTATCGGTCTGATGAAATGTATCAGTAGAACTAGAATCAAGAAAAAGTCATCATCCGGAGGATCTGAATCCTGTTCAATCTCTTCCATCCCCAATATACCTATAAGATATAGATAAGTCAGCTACGAATAATAACAAACACTTATGTACATTTAAATCCGTAAACATTTAAATCCGTAAACACTGTCAAATGAAATAATCCACCTCAAAAGAAATTGAATACTCAATTCATAAAATTTAAATTATTTACAACAGGTTCCCATACGACGGTAATTAAAATATTCCAAATAACCGCAAAAATATATAAAAGACTGTCTTAAAAAATTTTAGTTATTCTTATGTAAATTCTTTATTGATGCGAATAAATAGTAAATGTATGTGTAATAATTATAGAAAATAATATGTTAGACTAGTAAAAGTTAAGAAATATGTTAGTTGGTATTTAGTATTTAGTAATACTAAATATTAACTACTTCATTAGTTAATATTTAGTATTAAAAACTACCTCTTATAAATTGCTTTGCCCCTACAGAACGTCACTTGATGTATTTCTTGTAGCATGCGAATTATATAGTAAATAAATAAATAAATCAAACAATCTATAGCCTTGACTTTTCTGATTGCACCATAAAGCTGCATTTCTACCAGAGATGAGCGAGGAAACAGCGATACGAAGAGGCGTGGCGGAGCTATGAAACATTGTGACTCATTCTACCAAAGCTGTAATGCCCCATTTACATTCAGCCTTTTTGGGCAGGGCAGTGAGCAGGGCAGTATGTAAACAGGCTACTCGCGCTGTCACTGCCGCTGCGGCTGTCACTGCCCGACGCTCGCTCTATTGTCGGTTTTTCGTGCGGAAGTCAATGGACGGCAGCGCGAGCGGCAGTGAGTGTTAACATTCAGCTCCATCGCTCACTTCGCGCTAAGCGCCTGGATGAACGGACGTGCGTGCCGTCTTGTTATTAAATAAGTACGATCTAGTAAAATGCCTCTCGAGCGGAATAATGAAAATACAATAAAGTTTTTAGAACTGCTGGAATCAGAAAAAACTATATGGGATTTCAACGATAAAAACTACAATTCATCATCTTCTACGAATACGAATTTTCTTTTTGAGATAACATTGTACCTATGTACATAATTAATTATAAATTCGTCAAATTTATTATTTTAATATAAAATTTAGTTTAAGGAATTAATGAACATTGACATTTTATTTCTAAAAACGATTAGTAACTCTTATTGAATATTTATTTATTAAAATGTAAAATAAGTTAAATGGTAATATTTGCATTGCCTGAGATTTTTAAATTATAATTTTATTGCAATTAAAATTATGAATTATATTATACTGTAGTGTAATTATTAAAATAATAATAGCTTAACTAATCTCATATAATATTTAATATTATTTATGTAACAATAATGTAATAATTCAATTAATAATTTAGGAACAATTTATTATATAAGAATTCAAATAGAGTGGATCTGTATAAGTATTTCATTAATACATAATATTTTAATTCAAAAAGAACTTTTAAGCAATGCAATAATTTTAAAATATAACATTGGGTTTATGTAATTAGCTGTATTTCATATCATTTTTGCATGCCAATTATGGCAAAACATGTCAGTTCCACGTCATTGATTATTTATTTATTTATTCTTTTTTGTACACCACAATACAGAAACATCAATACAGTTAAAACTAATTAAAGTATGTACAATAGGCGGTCTTATCACTGAAAGTGATTTCTTCCAGACAACCTTTGCGTAGAGGAATGATGCAAACAAAAGTTACAAATAGAGGGGGGGCATACAAAATAATAATAAAAAAAATACAACAATACATACAAATAAAAGTAAGTGAAAGTTATATATAAAATATCATATTATATAAAATATCATGATCATCTTATATACCACGTTTTTAAGCAAATAAATTTTCTATCTATATATCTATCTTCTTTTGAACTTGATATCTTTTTAAATTATTAACATAATTTTGTATTGCAAGAAGACACAGCGCGGACGCTGTAATTATTTCGACGTTTGCCGTAGTCGAAAGCCGAAAGCGATGTGAGTGGTAGGGCAGAGTGTGAATACACATTTCCCGCGATCCTGCTACGGCAGTATTTAGGGAAGTATTGCCGGCAGCGCGAGGAGCAGTGGCAGTGGCTCAATGTACCAAAGCTGTAAGAGAAATCTGAGCGGTGCTTAGCGGACTCTTTTCACTAAGGCCCGGTTTACATTTTGAGAAGTAACAAGTGCGAGTGGCAAGTGCAACTGTCAAATGACAAGTGCTTAGTGCGTATTCTATTCACACTTATTACTTGTCACTGCCTGCTCACACGCACTAAACCGGGTCTAAGGCGAGGAAGTCTATTGACAAGTAGTCTAGTAGCTTTACATTTAGAGAAGTAACAAGTGCGAGTGGCAAGTGCAATTGATAAATGACAAGTGCTTAGTGCGTATTCTATTCACACTTATCACTTGTCACTGCCTGCTCACACGTACTAAACCGCGTCTAAGGCGAGGAAGAGTATTGACAAGTAGTCTAGTAGCTTGCTTAGAGACACCGTCTTACACATCCCGCGCACACCATTCTCGCACGCTTCCCTCGCTTGCGTTGTTTTTTTTGTACAAATACCCTTTCCATGTTGCGCTGAGCGTGGCTAGGAATAAACTAATTCACTAACTCTGTCGGTGGATTTTTTCCTGACGTACCGCTTAGCTGCCTCGTACAGCAACAGGTAATTGATCACAGTCGCCCATGAACATTTGCGACACCAGAGGAATTGGGTTGCCGAACTTTTAGAAAGGAATAGGCTCTCTTCTTGAAGGTCCCTAAGTCGTACGTATCGTTCCGGAAAACCAATGGCGACAGTAATTTCCGCAGCAAGGTCATAAGTAGCAGAATATTCCACGTAAATTGATCGTCAGTTAACAGCCAACCATCTAGGTGATAAAGTTGGAGCTTCGAGTTCTTTCGCAGTATACTATGATAAAATTCAGCAGTTGGAATAAATCCGAAAAATTACTCTGAACACTCGTCGAGATGCAACGTCTATTAAAGAACTTGGTCGTCGAAGATTCGGGCCTCTCTTCGTTGAATGTAGTTAAGTGGTAGGAGCTGATATTGGTGTGCTTCTGCCGAGATGAGCTGTATTCTATTATATTATAAGACTGAAACTGCGTTTTGGAGAAAAAAAGAAAAAATCAAGGTGTCTTATTGGTCATAAAAACGACAAATTAATAAGATTAGATTTAATAACGAGATTATTTTATGTATTTATATAATTCATGGGTTTCTACTCCTGTATCCGCCAAATAGAGATAGAGCGATATGATGGAACCAGTTTTTACGCTGAAGTTCCCGCTCGTACTTTGCGTCGCGACGGAATTGCTTCCATTCTTCACGTAGTTTTGGCATACGGGGTCCGTAAGTGGGCTTCTTACTAAAAGCTCTTTTCACGGTCTGCAATAAACAATATTTAAATAAAAATAGTCATATATTTTTATAGAATAAAGATGACACACAGTCCTTATGGTAAGTAAATTCCGTGGCCCATTGACATCTACATCTGTCCTCGATTAAAAATCAAAATATTGAGACGTTGTTACCCCTGAACTCCTACGAATGCCTCGTTACCAGTAAGAAGAGTGTCCGGTTTTCTACATTAACCATACGAAACTCATAAGGCTGTTATTTTACGCAGGTATTCTGTAAGAGCTTCTACCCAGGTCGAGCCGACCCAGTCGTACGGCAACCATAATTTAGCTGTAGCGTGACACTACAAAGTTAATAGTATACGTGGAAGCATTATAATAAATCTTTTTTTTTTAAATATAATTTATACTATAATCTATTTTTACATTATAACAGAACATACTCGTTCACTAAATATTATATTCTCCTCATAATGATCAAAACAAATTTTGATTGAGAAGTTGCATGTTTTTTTAGTTTATTAAATATTTTAAGGAAAATAAAAAAAACTTAACAATTGAATATAGAGAAGTTGAATGTTTTAATTTTTTTTCAAGTTTACTAAAAATTATTAAGAAAAAAAGTTTTTACAATTGATTTGTCAAATAAATGGTTTTTCTAAAATGTTAATTTAAACGCCAGTGACGTCATTATATCGCTTTAGTAACGCTACCGCTTTGTGAAATGATTAAATACACATATTTACGTTGTCAAAATAAAAAATAAATTGACATTCCATAATACAGACTATATTTGTTTTGTTATGACACATGATGATCCGAATGTAGAAAATACAAAAGTATAGCATGATTGCGATTGGCTCACAGCTTCAACGGATATAATGACGTCACAACCTGAAAAGTCACAGTTGCAGACTTTAATTTACCAAGTCTAAACCAATACACCACAAACGGGTCAACAAAAGACACACCCATAAAAAAGTCATTAATTCAAAGGAATTTCCAGGTTAATCAAGATGATAATGAAGATGATCAAACTGAATTAACCGTTGTCCTGGATGCGTATTTATTCGATGGTAAAGATAGTAACGAAGTAAACTGTAAACCACTGTCCGATGAGATCCAAAGTGAAAGCATTGCGCAAGGATGTCTTGATGAAGAAACAGGCCTGTACGTTGACACAAATGCAATAGATTACGTTAAGATAAATTTTTGGGTAGAAGATGATAATAATATTGGACAAACAATGCAGTACAGTACAGTACAAGACGAGAGCGATGCATCTTTTGACTTCGAAAGTGACGATACAGTGACTTTAGATTACTCTCACACTAAACAAATCATCCAGTCTAACTGTGGAACAACTTGATGAGCCTTCCACATCGAAAAGTCTTACAGACCATAATTTTAAAGCACTTTTTAGACCTTTCACGTATTTTGATAGCGATACTGATACAGACATCGGTTAACTTCCATGTTTGCTTTGAATAAACCCAGACAAGTCACAGAAGCCACAGTATCAACACACTGTCAAGAAACTGGGACATCTATAAACACCATAATTTTATCATTGGCTACTTCATGTATAGAAAAAATAAACGCATCACTATCAAATGCTCGACACTTCAAGCAACTGGGTAATTTTGTACAATTTCGGAAACGAATCATTTGCTACTACGACTATATGCGTGCTCAAAATAAAGTTATAGCCTTTAATGATCAACAGACTGTACAAAAATGTAAAAAAAGGTAAATATCGCATTTTATCTAAAAAGGACGAATCAGATATAAGTAATTAAGGAGACTGTGACAAAGAAAATAAGGATATTGAAACCACAGACGATAAAACGTTAAATGTCGGATGTTAAATATTGATAAGATTTACTGTAAAAAAGTCTGATAAATATTACGCTGGCATGATTGCTGAAAATTGCAATACTGCAGGCAAAAGTTATTAAAGTCAGTTTTTTGAGAAAAGCAAAGGTAGATGAAATAAAGAAATAAAGGTAGATGATATGTCATTTGTGTTAGTTGAACACATTGCAGCTGTACTACCTACACGTCGATGAGGCAAACTGAACTTTAATTTTGACTTTTCTAATTATAAAATTTCAAAACTTGAAAAATTACTTTAACAGAAATCAAAGAAATGACTTTGCGTTAGGTATACTTATTGTGTCAAAGAATACCTAATATAACTTATAGATTTCTTTTATAAAAATATTAAAGTAATACTCTAATTATTAAGCAAGTAAGCCAATTCCTTTTTCTTTTCAAAAATATCGTAAAATTAAGTAATTAGCTTAGAATCGTTACCTACCTCTATATTTTTAATAAAAGATTTTATGACTGTTCATTAATAAATATAACTTTTTTTGATATTAAACAAATATTGTTTTGTTATGTTATGACTGATTATTTTACCATAAAAAAAAGGTGTTGTTTAATTTAAAAATTTTTTTTTTTTTTTTTCCAAAAATTACGAAAAAATATCTACCTTCAAAATAGTGCCATATATTTTAGACTGATTTAATTAAAGACTGTGGATATAGGTAGGTACTTTACATGAATCTAATTAAACAAAAGTTTTTGCTTAGTTTATTTTTTTATTTTTTTTCCTAACTGTACTAACCAGATTTTGACACACCTACAATTGCTTATATGAATATAAATGGGTATTGGAGTTTTATGGTGAATCTATTATGTAATAGCGATTGGTACCATGACACAACGTCAACATAATTAATGCAGGCAAACATGGACGAAAATAAAGTTAAATTAGCCATTCATCGAAATTTCAATTTGCTTGAAATTCTATGTAAATACGTCTGAATTTACAATTGTAACGCAATCCCATGATGGGCTTGGCCATCTTTAGAAAAAGAGAAGTAAGTATACCGTACAATACAATTTATTTAAGAAAATTAACATAATTGTAAAAAACAGGCAAAATTGGACGGTTTGACGGTATATTTTATTAATAATTACTAATAAAACGGGATATAATTGTTAATAAAAATATATTTAAATATACTTTTAATAAGTTATTATTTTATTTATATATAAATTTGTGGAAAAAAATTAATTAATGCAACTCTCTATTATTTTTTCACAGAGATGTAATTAAGAGTAAGTGCATTTCAGTTCATTGCGAAGGAACTCTTTATTGGGAAACTGTAGCGATTATTTTTATTTTCTTTTCTAACATTAGAATTGCTGATATTAATATTTTTAATATGTTCTGTTAACTTAGCGTTTTCGTATTTTACGACGCTAACTATTAAGATTATTTCAATCACTCGAATCTTGAAGCATTATGCTTAGAGTAATTACATAACTACATACGTTGCAGGTTCATATCTGTGAGAAATTTTTTAATTGTATTATATAATCATATCGTTTAAAATTACATTGTTATAGAGAATGCTTTCTTCTTCTTATTCAGTTGCTTTTTGTCTGCTGCTGAAAATAGGTCTTTCTATTATCATCATCATCATTACTATTCTATATCAAAGTCCATTGCGGTAGGTCATTCACTAGGTCATCCCCATAGATTGTCAGCACAGTGTTGATTGGCAACTTTCATAGAGGGAATGTATGTCATAATTGCCACGCTTGGCAAGCGGGTTGGCAAAGGCAGTTTTTTATTATTTTGATTCTGCGAGATCTGCTGTTTTGCATTTCCCTCTGTCGCTTCATAATCAGTCTTTCAATCGCTGTTGTATATGATTCACTTTTGTTCCAAATAACGCACTTTTGGAAGAATCGTCCCTAGGGCTAGCGTAGCGGGTTGGTCACCCAAAGTAAAATATCATTCTAACTTACCTCAACAAAGTTATTAGATCTGTATTTCCATAGAGCGTGAATAATAAATATTGGTATCAGTGCCATTCCTGTGTACTGTAAAGCGCTCCCAGCAACTGGAAATAAAGTTATTAATTAACAATGTAATAAAATGTTATATTAAGTTAACAGATTAGTAAAGTTATTTTTTTTATATCAACAACATAATTTTGTAAAAGATAAACGCTTAGTAGATATTCTATTTTTGTATACCTACTGTTGGAAGCTATCAACTATGGAATTATAGTACCTACTGGAACTGTACGCGTGAGCTCAGAGGCACTCACTTTTTTACATACAATACCTACTCATACCGGACAGGTTATGTCGGACCCACATCGACAAATACCCCATGGTGTTCCACCTTCGCCGCATATTGGCACAAACCCATATCTAAATTGGGCTCGCCAAGACCACTTGGAGTGGTCCACCACTGCGAATCAGCCCTTCACTTCGGGCCAGTCATATGGGTTCTTCTAAGTTCACCATGGGTGACCAAGCTAAGGCTACTAAGCCCCCTCGCCACCACAAGGCGGAAACTCGTTCAGGGACGAGGAGCACAAAACTTATCTTAACAAACCCGTGCCCGAACTAACTAAAGTTCATACGATTAAAACAAAGACAGGTGTAAGATTATAGATTTAGAAAGATGGAACAACACAAAGAAGCACGAGAACCAAAACTTCATATTTTCGAAGTCAGTTCAAAAAGTCGGGCCCTTATTTGCTATAAACAACGTCGGTGACGTCAACATCGATATTCAAACTCTGATTCAAGCGCGTAATGTCGTCTGTGCTACCGTGACGTTATTATTATTATTACAGCTATACGTGGTAGAGCCGCGCTGCAGATATATTATGGTTGTAACATTAATGGGTCAGCTCGATCGGGGAAGGATCACGCTCTCACAGCATACCACCGTAAAATAGCAGCTTAATGCTGCCGTGTTTCGTATGGTGAGTGTAGAGAACCGGAGACCCGTTTTACTGGAATCGAGGCTTTCCATCTTCGTCCTCAAGGGTAACAATGCATCTACATTTTGATTCTTAATCGAGGTCAAATGTAGATGTCCATGGGCCACAGCATCCACGTACCATGAAGGTGGACTGTGTGCTCGTTTGTCATCCTAATCCTATAAAAAACAAGTTCAGTGCTGAACATAGGCCTCGCCCAAGTAATGCCACAAAGCAGACATCGACTTCCTGCATTCATTAACGGGTTCCATTAACGGTTCCTGCATCCATTAAAGAATAAACTGAGAGACACCCCCACTACTCAGTTTATTAGTGTTATTACTTAATAATCAATGTTTTCAAACTTACTATAAGCCTCTCTAGGATACTGATAGGTCCCACCGAACATAAGTGCTTCAGTATTTACTAGAGCGTAATAGAACACTGCGATCATCATGAAAGGTGTTATGATACCCCAGCAAATACGCCAGTAGAATGATGTTTTCAACCCCAACATAAATTCTATATCTAAGCACAAGTTTTCAAGACCTGGAAAATGGAAAATGGAAATGGTTATCATTTTTATTTTTTGCCATGATTTATTAAGTTGATTTTTATTAATTTTAATTTGCTTATTTGAGATAAAAATGGAAATTATTATTAATTTTACCGTAAATCCAAATCACTCCAATGGTTTCGACGATAGCTGCAAACAGTCTCATGAATGTTCCACCGTAATAGTCGACTAATTCTAATATATATTGACCACCCTAAAATACAGAATAATAAGTTTTTATGTTCATGAAACAATTTTTTCAAGCCTTCTCTGCACATAACTCACCAAGAACGTACTATTATGTACTATGTATACGTTTAGTTTTATGCTTACCGGAGTAACGTAGACGAGGCCTATCAAAAAGCCGACTGTACACCCCATAGCAGACATATACACAGTGGGAATGCGGGGAAAGGCGTCGAGGAGCACCGTGTTAATAGTCGATAGCAGTGCGACGCCGGATCCCACGCCCAGCACAGCCATCATTAAGAAGAAGAGGACAGCGAAGAGCTGAAATCGTTTAAAACAAGTAAGTTATGTGAGGTATGAGTTTTCTTGTGAAATTATAATATCTTGTTTGTTTATTTGTTTTTAAAAAATTGTTTGCTCTTTTCATTGTTAAAATATCTCCCAAACTGAAGTCTGAAAATTTTACAATCTTTATGTATATTTTGATTATGTATACTAGTCAGAAAAGTTGTGGGGGAAGAGCTAACAACGTGATTAAAATTTAAAGAAGGTGGTATTACCAGTGTAAAGTACAGACATTCGAAAAAATTGAGCAAAAATGCATTAGGAGTTGACGAAATTCAAAATATTATGTTCTGGTTAAATTGTATTCTCGGTTATTTAGCTTTTCGAGCAAATAGTTAATCAACATCAAATATCATTTGCATTCAGATTGCACTCAGATTGCTCGTGAGCTTTAAAGTTTTATGACCGCAGGGTAGCGTAGCGATGTTAGTAAACCTACCTGCGGAACTGCAGGTGATTTAGCGATGGCGTCTGGATAGGATATAAAAGCAAGGCTCGTACCGCCGGAACCAATAACCATGCTAACATCGTCGTAGTTAAGCTCGTAAGCTAGGTTTCCTAATACTCCGAAAATTGTAATGCCAGATATAAGACTTGTAAAGGTATCTAACGTGGTTACGATCATAGAATCCCTGAAATATATGAAGCAATTGATATATATTTAGGTAATTGTGCCGATATTTTCTTGTAATGTAAGATAATAATATATATAATAAGACTCTTGTAATCTAGAGAAAAATTTAGCACTCGTGGTGAATACTTTGCTTAAATAATATGTAAAAGGTGTTATAAAGTGATAAGAGGAAATGAAGACCGAAAGAAATTGTTTATGTTCACGCCTGTGATACATCTAAGAATATTAATAATTAAATAATAAACCAATTATCAGCACCTTGGGAAAAAGTTCAAAACATGTTTGTTGTATATATGAAAATTGCCAGCTATTTTTTTATAATTTTTTATTACGAATGTTTTACTTTGAAATGTTTTGTTTTTGTTAACAGTTATATTATTTAAATGATACATTTTAAGATTTTTTTAGCAATTCACAATGTATTTATTATGTATTTATTATATTATTTATAGAATTTTAATACATAAAACTTAAAAAAGGAAACAGAGGGTGAATAATGCTTAATGCTATTCGGCATTCTTTGCCAGTCCACCTTAATAGATATTTTTTACTAAAAATAACTTAGTTTATAATACAAAAAAAAAACAAATACAAATTTGACATCCTCATAAAGTTTCGTTAATTAGTATTCGTTTTAATTATTTTATAAATATTTTTAAATAATTAAGGTATTATTGCTAACTTTTATTAATGCGTATGTGCGTGCACAGTAAAATCAGTTAAAATAATGCATTTACCACTCTAACTTTCTTAGGTTATGTTAGGTTAGCCTGTTAAGCCTAAAGTACGTATTTAGGCCAAACTAGGATGACATGCGTCAGATAAACCGGTTTGGCTTGAAATCAGTTTGGCCGCTAACGGTTATAAGATTTTATTTGCTTCTATTAACGTCCAGATTAATCAAAATCATTAAGTTTCCTAAGTCACAGGCTATATGAATTTATCGACAACGTCTTTTGTTTTGCTAATGGTCATAGCAATAAAGTTGTCTATAGAATGGAAAAACGGCAACAACCTTGTAAAAGAAAGAAGGTGAGAATAATAAAGCTATATTATTTTGTACGACGTAGAACCAGTAAAACGTCATATGCATAAAAAGATCAACTACAAGCACTGATCTCTATATATACAGCGTACTTGTATACACAGAGGTCAGTGACTACAAGACTTTTGTTCTTATTTTAAGATTCTCTCTGCTAGTAATTATTCCGAGGAAAATATATATGAACGTCGTAAAATATTTAATTAGTCCAACTAAATCCAATAATTATTTAATCCAATTGAACGCTAACTTAATTACGGTCATTATCAGAGATTAAATTGTCGCACAATCGATAAGATAGTGATCTACCATAATGTGTTGTAACATACATAGACGAAGAATTTTAGTCTTGTTCAACAAGTTAAATTTTCTACAAGTTAATACTTATAAATTTAGGTATATAGCTACCATGCAGTGAAGTGGTTCTCTGATAACAATATATCAATTTTATACCAAAGATTTAAATTATACTAAAGATTTAAAATCTTTGCTTTATACCGCTTATACTTTTTATTTCTTTATTAGATACCTACATGTGGGTAACAAGCTGCTGTTGTTCGAAATTCTTAAAGTAACAAAGGTTTTATCTAATGTCTCAATAAATTTTTTGAGTAAACTTACCTGTAAACGTTTTGCTTAAAGTCATTGTATGACGAAAACATAATGAGAGCCCCTGAACACACTGATAAGGAAAAGAACACTTGTGTGACTGCCGCGTACCATACCTAAAAATAATTAAGTACTATTGTCGTATTATTAAAAAAATTAATACTATTAGAACTAAAGCAGAGTTATTAAGTTAGATGTGGCTGTAGTCACTAAGGCTAGGTCAATTTTACAAAATCAATTTTACGAATTAAACTGACGTTTAGGGGACTTAAAAATATGACTCAGTCAATATCTAATCTAGTTCAGACAAAACTGCTGTTAGAATTTTTGTTAAAATGTTGTTGCATTTTGCTAAAAAGAAATATAATTTGAAGCTACTTCTTTTCTAATATTTTTTTTGTTTTATTTCAAACGATAATAAAAATTACAGAATATATACTCAGGCACAAGTTTAAAGGAACGCAAAACAAAACAAAATATCATGGATATTTGTGACAATTAGGCAATTCAAGTAATTAATTTGGATTTAGATTTGATCACACACACACACACACACACACACACACACATATATATATATATATATTTGTGTGTGTGATTGTATTTACCGATATTTACCGATGCGTTTATATTTACCGGCGACGAGGTTCGCCACCCGTCACGTTCTGTCTCCCGGAGGGGCGAAAAGTGGATTGCAGAGGCCCGTCTGGCTACGTTGAATGTATGTGGGGCAATGAATGATAAAATGGATGAAGTATGCGATATGATGTATGATAGAGGAATAGATGTGTTATGTGTAAATGAGACGAAAAGGAAGGGGAAGGATTTCATTACACATGGCATGTATACCGCATACTGGTCTGGTGTAGACGAGATTGAGCGGGCATGCCAGGGATTAGGTATCATCCTTTCAGAAAGAATGGGCCTATGTGTGAAAGAGTATGAATGTGTAAGCCCAAGACTGCTATGGATACGAATGAAAGTGGGCTTAAAGAAGTTGTTTGTTCTAGGGGTCTACGCCCCAGACATGTCTAAGCCCACTTATATCCGAGAGCAGTTTTGGGAAATGGTAAGGATGGTGTTAATGAAATGAAAATATTATTATGCTAGGAGATTTTAATGGAAGGGTTGGGGTGAGGAGGCTTGGTTATGAAAGGATATTGGGAACGTTTGGTGATGAAAGTATAAATGAGAACGGTGAAAGCCTCCTCACCGTATGTATGGAAAAGAATCTTTTTGTGACGAACACTTGCTTTCGCCACAAGAGGATACACACGTATACTTGGGAAAGAGGTGATGATAAAAGCATGATAGATTTCGTAATTGTGGATGAAAGAATGAGGGGCGCAGTTGTAGATACAAGGGTTTACCGGGGGTCGAACGTAGGAACGGATCATTATTTGGTTTTATGCCGAAATAATGGTCTATTAAGGCGTTGGCGCCATTGGTCATCTGTGTCTATCACTGCGTTACAGCGTATTAGAACTGAAAGCTTACAAGAGGAAGGTGAGAAACACAAGTTCAAATGTAGACTGAAAGAAAATATAAGTGGTTTGGATGAATTATGTATGAATGATTTAGACTTGGAGAATGTATGGCAAAGTGTTAATAAAGGTTTAGTGGATGCAGCTACCGAAGTATGTGGTGTTAGTAAGAGAAAGAATGAAGGGAAAAATAATACGTTATGGTGAGGAGATGAGACCTATGGAAGTTGAAGCAAAGAAGCGAGCATGGCTAGATTTACTAGCAACAAAGGCTGGTAATTCTAGCGATACGAATGATGATATTGAAGAAAAAAGGCAGTCTTTAGACATCTAAATAAGAGAGTAAAAGAAGTAGTTGAAAGGAAAAAGCAAGAAAGAACGGATAAGAATGATAGAAGAATATCGGATAACTTCCAGGCAAATATTAAAATGTTCTAGAAATTCGTAATAACTGCCAGGGGACATTCAAAACAGCCTACAATAAATGCTATAAGAGATGAGAATGGCTATATGCTGAATGATGAAGTTTTGAGTTTAAAGAGATGGAAGGAATATTTTGAAAGCGTCTTTATGAGTGAGGAGACAACGTATAAAATAAATAAAATAGAAACTCTGAAAGAAGAGGAAAGAGGTAGCGAGATAAGTATAGATGAAATAATGAAAGCAATGAAAAGCATGAAAGCAGGTAAGGCTGCCGGATATGATAGAACTTGACTTCAAGCTTCCTCTAAATTTCGGGATTGCGAGCAAAATTAACTCGAGCAAATGTGAATTTATTCCGGCTGATTTCAGTTATTTCCTCACAGTTTTTTGTGCGAACTTGTTGAAGCTTCGTTCTTACCTCAGAAGAAGTTAAGGTCCGGTTTTTAACCACGCTAGTAGCTATGAACTGGTCGTATCTGGCCACAGTTTTCCGTTTACGTCCCTGTCCTACGAGTCTCGTATACTGTTCGGTCTGCCGATACCTCTTGACAACTCGGTGTACAGGTTTGATTCCATTTATGTTTGTGTAACATGTTTGTGCCCAGTTTTAATTAAGTAACAGCCCTAGCAACTTGAGTGGCATTTAGATCCTGAATTATCAGTTTATTTGCAGTAACAAGTCAAAACACTTAATACGATAGACAAGGTAGTCAAGGCAAATTCAAACGTTGACGAAGTCTTTCAGAGTATTAAAGAGCGCAGTTATTACGCATTAATTACATTAAACAATTAAGCAATAATTACTAGTATTACGCAATAATTGCATTAAATAAATGAAATTCGAAATAAACAATCCAAGACTTCTCTTTTTTTAAAAGCATTGTCTACTACGCGCGATAATCTCAACAGGTAACATTAAATCCTTTTTTTCGTTCCTCTAAATTTGTCCATGAATATATTAAACGTGTTCTTTAGGACCTGATTCTCTTTTACACAACATATTCCTTTTACAGATAAAAATATTAACACGATGCTTATAATACGGGGGCCGGGGATGCGCTAGATGCCTCTAATGCATGTAATGATAATGGTCTGTAACTGTATCCATATAGCGTTAGCTAAACGACTACAATACATTAGAAATAAAGTACTTACTCTAATTTCTAAAATTTTCCCCCACTCTGGCGTTATCAAAAACAGTATACCATTACCAGCTCCAGGTAGAGTGACAGCACTATAAAATTAAATTAATTAGCTTCATAAAGTAATATTTTAAATAAGTTTTCAAATTGTAAGAAACACTTACCGTATGAGCAATATGAACAAAACTACGTATGGAAATAAAGCAAGGAAGTATGCAGCTTTGCCAGAGCTTTTTACTCCTCGAGCGACGATAAAGAATATTATTATCCAAGATGCCAACAAACATAGTGTTAGGTCCCATAACGGCACACCTGAATAAAATATATATTTTTTTATAATTTAATCACCATTTAATTACAGGAATTTGATATCGATTTGCGATTCTGAATAGTATTTCATATGTATTGCAATATTAAATCACATATGTTTTAACGGCCACAGTCACATTTAATTTAAATTGCTGTTTCAATATGAATTAATGTTTCTTCTGGGAGAGGTCCATCTCCAACAGCTGATAATGATGGTCAATAATAGAACAGATAATTATTAAAAACCTCTTACCGATTCCATCATCGATTCCATTTGATTGTCGAAGTACCGTACGTCTACAAGAAAGAAATATTTTTATTTAAATAGATTTTTTTAATTCAGTAAAGTAAAACATTGTGTATTATCAATTTGTAGTCTTGCCATGTGGTGGCCTTGCAAGAGAATCATTCCCTATAGTCTTGAGGCGTAAGAGACTATGGAAAATATATGCAAGATTTCATGGTCTCTGATAGGGCCAGAACATTTTCAAGTATTATATCACTAAATGTAAAATACTCAGCCCGGAGAAGGATTACAGTGTTACAGGCGAGAGACCTCTGATACTATAACTTACAATGTGGGCAAAATGGGGACAGGATTATAGGTAAATAATGATCTTATGAATGTTATGAAAACCGACAATATTCCCAAATACTCTTCAGACATTGCAATTAACCAGCAAAAAAAATTTTTCACTGTCTCATTAAATCTTAATGGTACAGCGGCCCAGATGTGAACATTATTCCATGCGATGCACAACTTGCACCTCGTAAAATTTCAAGCGGTATGTTGGCGTGAAGTACTGCCCCGCTCTACTCGGCATGCACACTTTTTAAGGACCAATTGACCTTGCCTTCCAGGTGACCATGGAACTGAACATCACTCGACATGTCGTCGCCGAGGATTCTGATCTTATTGGGAAATGAGAAACAATCGCACAATGTAATAAAATAATGATACAGTGTGAATTCATAGATGACGGTTTTTTTTGCAAAAAAGTGCATTAAAAATGTTCATATTTAATAATGTTGGAAAGCTTATTATCAAGTAAAGTAAAAAAGTTAAGTAACAGCCTATATTGTCCCACGCCTGGGCGCAATGCTCTCCTCTAATGCGTGTTGGAGAACTTCACAAGGCTTCTGAATATTTTTTTTAACTTCTCAGACATGCATGTTTCCTCAGGATGTTTTCCTTCAACGCCTAGCACATTGTTTTTTATTCAGATATTTCATCTGATTGTTAATCAGCACTTAAAATAGCAATTAATATTTTTATAGTGCCGGCGGGGATCGAAACCCTTGGGCCACCATGCCCTCACCAATACAACATGATGTGATGACAAATATATTTTTACGCACGATTTAATTAGATTATCTAAGATTATTTGTACGATTTTTACTTAGTAGCTTTAACTTCCTATAATTAGTGGTTCTGTTATATATAATAACAATTTACATACGTGAAGTATAGCTCTGCACTGCTAACTGGGTCGCCTTGCATTGAACTCATATTTGCAGATTCTCCTGAGGGCACGCAATTATCCCATTCTGATTTACATATAGCCCAAGGCAGCGGAGATTGAAAACTCATTGCCAAATAATATAAGCATAATGCTATGATTGATACGTAGTAAGACAGCACGTATCCGGCGCCCAAAGCTTGTGTATATCCCGTGCCTAAAATAATAAAAATTAATAACATTTTTATTGAATTTGATATTTAAATATCAAAATAATTGTAATTGAAAAAGCGCATAGAAAAGTCAGTATTAAGAAAACATCTATTCCTTGCAATGTAAAGCATTTTAATAGAATTTCATTTGTAAACGTGTAATGGGTACCTTTCATTGCAGGTGACAATGCCCATACTTTGACGCAGTTGCTGCTACTAAATTGCCCAAGAACAGTTTCTAAGTAGTACATGGCCTTTCCGATAAGTAGAAGTACCAAAATATAGGGAATGAGAAAAGCCCCTCCTCCGTTTTGGTATGTGACAAACGGAAAACGCCACACGTTGCCCAAACCTACTGATGTAGATATACACGACATCAGAAACTCTAATTGATTGTCCCATTTCGGCCGATTCAAAATATTTTCTTCACTTTTTTCCTAAAAGAGTAAACAGGAAACTTTTTAGAAATTTGTTTAACTACTAGGTATACGATAAAGGCCTGTGGGCATTGTTTGATACAAGTTTTACATTAGCGTTTTGTCTTTTATTACTTTGATAGACAATGTTTATTAAAGTTGTATTCTATATAATACTACAATCGACAATCAATTTTGAGTAATTTAAATCTTAAAATTAGCGTGTCAATTTTTTGCATATCTTTTTAGCTCATACTACAGTACAATAAGATTTTATTGGATTTATTAGTTTAATACGTTTTTGTTCCACAATCTCCTCTTCATTCGAGAGCAGAATATGTCTTAGGAGTTATAAGCTTCCTTAGCTTGTTTAAGAAAATATATGCCTGAGACAAATTGAAAGCAGGGTTGCCGTTCTACAAATTTTAAAGTCCCTAAACTAACAGAAAAAATCCGCCAGAAACAGGATTTTTCTTTTTCTTAAAATCCGCTAGATGTCCCTAGGTATATTTTCGTGGTACCATTGGGCTAACTGAAAAATCTTGCCAAATGGTCAATGAATACCGAAAATCTAAAACTATAAATTCAGTAAAACCTTAAAAGGAGCGGACTCTATTTCATATAAATCAGTTATTTATAGTGTATGTTACAGATATGACAACCAAAACAAAAATTATTCATGTACAAAATAAAAAAATATTGTAAAAAAAATGAATCTTAAATCTGTAAAACCACGTTTAAATACAATAGTCATCTTATTAAAAATAAAACAATTAGCTCAATACGTTCTTGTACCTAAAATTCAAAATTAATAGCGAAGTATGGATCCAGATCTTCAAAACGAACTTCAGCGGAAGTTGAAGCTTCGCCAATGTCTCCAGTTCCTATTTTTGGTTTGCCTTTATCGACTTGGTTGACAACATCTTCTGGAATATTATTCGTTGCACAATTCTTTTTTTAATCCTTAACTGATTTCTAATCAGAAGAATGGAATTTAAAAGTTTTTCTGATAGCTTGTTTCGCAGTTTGCTTTTAACTACATTCATAGCACCAAATACGCATCAAAATTCTCAATTTTCATGCGTATTTGGTGCTATGAAAAAAAAATACAACTCAAATTCTGCATTTGAGTGCGGTAGTGATAATATTGCAAAATTACATAAATCTTCGAATATGTTTATTCCTGCTGCATTTTTGTATGTCGAAACCTTAGACCATGGTCTAAGGTCAAAACAGATGAAAGTGAATGAACGACATTGAATTGTTAGTTCATGTTCGGGAATTCTCGTGAAATTATATTATATATACAGTGTTACCAACGGTAGATTACAAAACTGGACATATGATAAATGACTTATTTGAAATGAATTACTTTATAAAAAAAGTCGCCATCTCAAAAGTCCAAATGTCGCTAGAAGTCGCTAAATAATTATTTCTCGCTAAAACGATTTTTTTATCCGCTAAACATTGTTAAAATCCGCTAGATCTAGCGAGAAAGTCGCTAAAACGGCAACACTGATTGAAAGTTTCGATAAAGTTATTATAAATATATTGGACACACAATAAAAAATTAGAAGTAACTTTATTCATCGGATATGGTAGTAGAATACTTACCGCCACTCCTACCAATTCAATATCTTTTTTCGGTACATTCTCAGTGGACGCATCAAATCCCTCATTCCATTGACCTTCTTTGTCAACGTCTTTCGATACATCATTTTGGGATTCCTAAAACGTTTTCAAGACAAATATTTAAAAAAATAATTTAAAACAATATAAACATCCATATAATAATAATCTATTAAAAGGTCACCATGGAATAAAGAGTGGAAGATTGATGCGCTGCACGCGCGAACGTTAAAAAGACTGATAAATATTATTATATGTTTGATTTTTATTGTAAAGTAAAGAAATTTAATCAGTTAGCTGTATAAGATATTAAAAATCTATCTATTATCAATCTAAAAAATATAGCTTATAATCGTTACGTCAACACAATTTGGCAGATTACGAATTTATTTCTATGAATATAATTAAATCACGTTGAAATGTTAGATGACCGTTCTTCTAAAAATTCTAATTACGTATTTAATTTAACTTCTTCTTTGAGGTACTTTAGACGTGAAAGTACAACTATAGTAAGTGAGGTTAATATGGTCATCTGGTTAATATGTTCACTTTTTTACAGATCATAAAATACAGCCTTGTTTGCATGTATGGCTGTGTGATACGGTAGTTCTTCATCATTCAATCAAATAGGAAAGGGTCAATAGGACGCTGCTATATCGACGCCATTTCGACAATTCACATTATAGTAAATATTTTAATCGATTTTAGTACGGTGTAGTGTAGCTAGTTCTTTTTACGTTGATTTTTCGAAGTGTTCCTAATATTGCCAAAGCTTGTTTGTTTTTTTCTTAACGTAATATTTATAGTACACGACTTCGTGTTTTTGTCTCTGTCTCCCTCCTAGTTTTGGTTCTATGGGGCGGCTAAGCTTAAGGTGACCATATTATCCTCAAGTACCTTACTATACTATTTGAAATAAAATCTTACTGTATTTTGTGTTTTTTTTTCTAAGGAAAATTCTAAATATCTATATTATTAACTATAAAGATACCTTATCAAAGGATTACCGTTATCACCAATTTGTAAACTGTCCACATCTGAATGTACACTTTTCCTATCTTATGGTGGATTACCTGTAATTGCCACGTGGTAAGGCAAGTCGGCGACGGCAGTAGGTATTGCCTAAAGTTTCGCAATAGCTATTTTTTTAACTTCTGATACGGGCGCATTTCGCGTTCAAGTCTACTATCGTATATGTACTTGGAAGGCCGTGTTTATGAATAAAACCTTTTTTCTTTTGTCCATTTATTAAAAGGGGTTGACAAACGAGCACACAGCCCACCTGATGGTAAGTGGGTACTGTGGCCCATAGACATCTACATTTATCTTCGATAAATAATCAAAATTTAGATGAATTGAGACCCTTGTGGACTACGATGGATTGCCTTGTTTCCAGTAAAAAGTTTCTCCGGTTCTCTACACTCACCATACGAACTACAGCAGCATTTAAGCTGGTATTCTTTAAGAGTAGTGTTGCCCAAATGCAAGAACAAGACGAGACTTAACCAGTCTTGGTCTTGGTCTTGCGCCAATACACCTGGTCTTGTTCTTGGTCTTGGTATTGCGCTCTCAGTCTTGTTCTTGGTCTTGGTCTTGCAGCAAGAGTCTCGCAAGTCTCCCAATTACCTATTAGCCTATTGTTATTTATTAAACGTTACTTTAGATCTTAGAACAACTTAACAGAGTGGGCACATTTTGAGCTTGAATTAACATAGCCATAGAAAGACCAACCAAATTAATAAATGTCTAAACATTTAATGAGAAATTCGAAAAATCAACTAATACCGGGTGGGGTTTGAACCCACGACCTAAGTGATCCGTGCCGATGCTCTAACCAACTGAGCTGTCTACCAAGTCTCACGGCCACGGGAGTTAGTCTGTTTCTTAATAAACGTTTACATTTAATAAGCTTACATGTGCTAAAACTTAGTCAAAACATATAAAAAACAAATTAATGACATTAACTTGACTGTATTATAAAGAACATTATCTGTCTAGAAAGAGATTGATAGACCCTTATATGAAATGGAATAAAAGAGTTATACAATTTACCATTTATTTAAATAAAAAATAAAATACAATACAAATTAAATTATATAACAGTACACAACAGCTTTGTAATTACTGTTACTTTATATTAATTCTTTTGACCAAGAATTAATACAAAGTAACCATCTGGCTGACTCATCACTTAACCTATTTCTATGTTTTCTAATTACTAATGATGCTTTAGAAAATAATCTCTCAGCAGGTACTGAAGTTGCAGGTATTGAAAGAACATCACGGGCCATCTTAAATAAAGTCGGATATTCTGTCTCATGCGTCCTCCACCACTCTAAAATGTCTTCCAAACTGGCTGCTCTTACGTAGGTCCTCCTCCAACTCGTCTATAACTAAGCCTTGATGAAAAGATCCAGATCCAGATGACGTCGAGGGACATGCATACAATTTCTCAAAGTCTATTACGTCTTCATCTTTATCATATTCACATACTTTCTTTTCATTTCTTGGTGATTCTAGAGATGTATTCATTGAGTGTAGACTTTTATATTCTTTATAAAGTTTATTAAATTTGCGCAGGCTTTTTGTTTTAATTTGCTTCCCCCATAATGTCATGTCAAAAGTCTGAGTCTTATGCCTTGGGTCTAAAATTAAAGAGGTACAATAAATCCAGTTGCTCTTTTTATAATGTAGCATTTTGTCTCGAGCTGCTTGAAAACCCAGAATGAGCCTTTCATCCACTTCGGATCGATTAGGTTTCTCATCTAATTGTTTTACCATGGATTCAATTTTATCGAGCAAGAGAGTGAATGATAGAATGACTAGCGGCAATGTAACATATTTTTCTCCACCAAGTTTCGTTGATAGAAGTTTAAAGTTTATTAGAAACTTATGTATTTTTCTAGTATTTGCCATTCACTATCTGTGATTTGAAAATCATTAAATTCGGTGACAGAAGTGCACAATATGTTAATGCCAGTTCTCACTTTTAAACCAAATCCAATCATATCATGTGTGGAATTCCATCTCGTTGGACAGTCGAGTATGGGGTTCAGATTTGATGGCACGCCAGCTGCTTCACAAGCAGACTGAAACTTCCTCTTCAATATCTCACTTCTTTTTATTTTACTGGAAATACTGCGTAATTTTGTTATGTACGTGAGTCAGTAATATTTGGCGCATATTCTTCATCTTCCTCAGTTTCGTTTTCATTATCTTCATACTGCTGTTCTTTTCCCTTATTGTCAGTTTCACTGTGTAATGCTAAGGTCTTTAATAAATCTTGTACACCAAGGTTCAAATGTGAGCAAAGCACCGGAAATGTTGATTGTCTGAATCAAAGTGTGGCAGCTGTTTGTCCAATTCATACATAAATTTGGTATTTGCAGTTGCGTTGTCGACCGTGATACCCTGTATTTTATCAATTATGTCATATTCCAATAAACATTCGTGGAAAATCGTTGCAATATCTTCCCCAGTATGTCGACCGCGTGATGGTATAAAATCAAGGACTACAGATCGATACTTCCATTCGTTGTCTATATAATGAATAGTGACCCCGTAGTAACTCCTACCAGCTATTGACGTCCACATCAATGGTAAATGACATTTTAGATGAAAATTGTTGTAGTCGTTTCTTAAGATTCAATTGAAGCTCTTCAAACCGTTCTTTGACCTATCTTCTAAGTGTGGACCTTTTAGGAAACACCATATTTGGGCAAATTGATCGAAAATATACTTATGTAGCTTCGTCATCGAAAAATGAGAAGGGAAGATATTTTTTAACCATCCAATCAACTGTAGCTGTCGTGATATTGTCACTGCTATTTTCAGACTGAAATAAAACAGTAAATCATGTGTCTCGCCGATTATAAAAACAAATGAAAATATGATTGAATTATAATATATATATATATATATATAACTACCACTCACTGACTGACTATAACGATATCTCAGAAACTATAAAACATACAAACTTGAAGTTTGTAAGGTAGGTTCCTTTTATGGCATAGAGATCAGTTAAGAAACGGTTTTGATAAAATCTATCCCTAAGGGAGTGAAATGGGAGTTGGAAGTTTGTATGAAAGTCCTACGTTTTTGAAGTTAGAGACACGAAAATCGTCATTAAAGTTATAAGTTTTCAATAATAAAATCCTGAATAAGCTGTTTTACGAATCATAATCCTAAGGGGGTGAAATTGGGATAAAATGGTTACGTGCAAGTCCTATATTTTTAAAGTATAGATATGAAGATCAACATTTATTTTATTAGTTTTAAATAATAAATACTTGCATAGTTAAGCTTTACCTATATAGCCTCTTTATACTTAGGTAAAACTTTTGCAGCGAGAAAATTTCAAAATCTCATAGGAAATCAGATATTGTACGCAGACGAAGTCGCAGGCGGCCGCTAGTTACATAATATATTTGTTATGTAATTGTGTGATAATTATATTTTTTCTTATCTGTCCACTTTTCCCGGTGGTTATTAAAACGCTTGTGATATCTCACTTAATTTTGGTTTTTCAGGAAAAAATATTTGTGATTCCTTTTTGTGGAAAGATATTAGATGCCTCCTTGCGCCAGAAGAAGTGTTTCTGTTTTTCATTTTTATTTCAACCTTTTTATGTTGGCATAATTTACACAAAGCAATTTGGGATGCATGAATTATGTCGAAAAACTCATCAAATTTACTTTTAGGTCTTTTAGATCTATAACTCCAACTCTCACTACTCTGACTAGAACTATTCGACTGTTCGTCACTCATTTTAAATTGTAAACCACTCCGAGAAAAACAAGGATTAGAGTAAAAACAATTAATACATTAGACTCGAAGCAAGGCTCAATTGGGAATGACTGGAATTAAAATAAATACTACTATTTGTAAGTTCACGCCGAAAGACCGACAAAGGAAAGTTCGGCATCCTTTGATAAAATTAATGATTCTTTAGAAGATTAATAAAGTAGATGCGTTGCCAGATAGGTATAGTGTGCCTACTAAAAATGAAATCTAAATATGTAAATAAAATTGTGTATATTATGTTCTTCTTGTGATTGAGTTAATCTACGTTGATTAAATTAAATTTGCCTTCACTCGTTTGAAATTCAAAATTCAAATATGTTTTATTCAATTAGGCATTAAAATACACTTTTGAATAGTCATATAATCACTGTTTTCCCCAATTTTTTCTTTTCCATGTCCAGGGGTTCTGATTCTACTGAGAAGAATCATGGAAGAAAGTAAGAAACTCAGTAGTTGCTCTTTTCAAAATATTTTTACAATAGTTCTATAATTATGTAAAGCGATAAGTCAAACATAGAATGTCAAATGTATATGTAGATACCAAATCGGCTTAGAAATTTCTAGTTAGTCCTGTGTAGTACGAGAGGTCAGTTCCAAGCATTTTTGTCTGACTTAAATTGAAAAGGTGAAAGATTTAACATTTCTTTTCCATTATAAAAGCGTATATCGCTACCCAAGAACGCATTATATATATATATATATATATTTATATATATATATATATATATATATATATTATATATAATATATATATATATATATATATATATATATATGTATATATAGTAAAGTATATATATACATATATATATGTATATATATATACTTTGTGTAACCGGAAAGCAGGTATTGTGATTTTATTTTTATTTCTAATATTAAAATTGTGCAAATCACTATTATTTACATCAATTTGATGCAATCAATTTCTTTAAACGGTTCTCTAAGAGATACTCGGGCTCCTAAAAAGTACATAGATCTTATTTTACGCTTTTTATTTAATATGCACACTTTGTATATTATTCGATTAGCATTGTACAAAATGTTTAGACGTTTCAAGTGTGTTAAAAGCGTCTACAATTTTTATCAAATGGGTTACGGCATATTCGAACACTTTGTGTTCAAAAACATACACTTCCAAAAATCGAGATTTGCAGTGAACTTATTGAACATGTTTATTAGGTAATAATAACAATAGTAAGTAATTATTATAAACCTATATAGTTAATATTATAATAATTACTTACTAGAATAAATTATTATGGTATCTACCTATCCCTACAATTATCTAATTACAATATTCCTTGCGATATCAGCATAATATATTCGTGTCCATTCTGAGCACCCGGAAATTTATTTTATTCTTTGGAACATGTACTCTGTGGTGGCATTCAAACAGTGTCAAAAGTAGCGCGTGCGGCGCGGCGGCGACGTTCAAATGCGATACTTCTGAATAGCTGCAAAATTTCTTTGACAGGTCAGTATTCGACCTTTGATAATGCCGACAATAAGATGCCGCGCACTATCAAAGTGCCGATGGTCAAAACTAGGGATGCACTGTTTTTTCTTTTTAATGGATATTTTCATCCGCTATGTATGTTTATAGTATTGTTCGTAATGCGCATAAGTCCAATTTTCCAAATTTTTTTATATATTTTTAGCGTCTCATAGAGTCCCTAAGCGTATACCCGTACTCCTATACTCCCTGAAACGACACTCATTCCTAACTGCAATACGCAAGAGTCTCGCAGGCTTAGTCTTGTTCTTGCTCAAATCTTGCACGGTCAGTCTTGGTCTTGGTCTTGCTAAAATTAGGCGGTCTTGTTCTTGGTCTTGGTCTTGCAAAAATGCAAGAACAAGACCAAGACTGCAAGACCAAGACCGATTTTGGGCAACACTATTTAAGAGCGTGGTTCTTTCCCGTTTGAACCGACGTATTCATGTTACAAATACTATATAGCTGCAGCGTGCGTAAAATTCTTCATGTTGTTGGTAAGGGCATTTCACAAATGGCATAACTGAGATATTTACTACCATTTGTTCCAGATATTTTTAGCATTTCTCTAGGTCTAGGTAATATGGAATAAATCACAGGTTTTTAAAGTTAAAGGTTAATTATAACATCATATTTCAATGGTTTCTAATAAAGGTGAGTTTTAAATATTATATTTAATATATTTTAGTTAAGATATATCGGGACTATCTCACGAAATACAGAACTGCTGGCTGCCCTTGCTAAAATATTATTTAACCTATATTATAAGGGTACAATATAAATATAAATCAAAAGGATAATATGCCTTATAAAATTATAAATGTTTTATGTACTTTTAAAGCCGATGTTATTTTATATTGGTGGCTTAAATGGTAATAATTGACGTAATACGTAAGTGCACAATTTGGTTAACATCATAAGCGTATTAATATAGTAGGGGCACAGAATACATAGTAGTATTACGTAGTAGGGAATTAAAAGTAAATGTCGCCCTATGCCTAGCCCATTATGGCGCTTTTATTGTTTAATTTATGTGTTAGTTCATCATCATCATCATCACAGCCCTTCACAAGTCCACTGCTGAACATAGGCCTCCCCCAAGTAATGCCACAAAGCACGGTCCTGAGCCACCTGCATCCATCGACTTCCTGCATATCTTACCAGGTCGTCACTCCATTTAGTGGGGGGTCGCCCTACACTACGCCTACCGGTACGAGGCTGCCACTCGAGAACCTTTCTTCCCCATCGGTTATCGGTTCTTCGAGCTATATGGCCGGCCCATTGCCACTTCAGCTTACTAATCCGTTGGACTATGTCGGTCAATCTGGTTTTACTGTGGATATCCTCATTTCTGAGTCTATCACGCAGAGAAACTCCGAGCATAGCCCTCTCCATAGCTCGCTGAGCAACCTTGAGCGTCCTCATACGGCCAGCAGTGAAGGACCACGTCTCTGATCCGTAAGTCATCACTGGCAACACGCACTGGTTGTACACTTTAGTTTTCAGAGATTGAGGTATACCTGACGAGAAGATATGTCGTAATTTCCCGAACGCTGCCCAGCCGAGTTGAATCCGTCGATTGACCTCTCGGTCGAAGTTGGACTTACCTAGTCTTAATATTTGTCCCAGGTAAACGTACTCGTCAACAACTTCGAGCATAGTGCTCTCAACAACTACCGGCATAGATGTGACATGGACATTAAACATAATCTTTGTTTTGTCCATGTTCATCTTAAGACCTATCCGTTGGGAGGCACTATTGAGGTCATTGAGCATAGTGCTTAAGTCCTCCAGCGATTCTGCCATAAGGACTATATCGTCGGCAAATCGAAGGTGAGTGATGTACTCGCCATTGATGTTAATACCGTATCCTTTCCAGTCCAGTAGCTTGAAAACGTCTTCCAAAGCAGCGGTGAAGAGTTTCGGGGATATAACGTCACCCTGTCTTACACCTCTCTGCAGTTGGATAGGTTTAGAGTTCTGGTTCTGTACTCGGATAGCTATCGTAGCCCTACTGTACAAACACTTCAGCACTTCGATATACCGACAGTCAACTTGGCACCGCTGTAGGGACTGCAGCACCGCCCAAATTTCGACGGAATCAAAGGCTTTCTCATAGTCCACATACGCCAGGCAAAGTGGTAAATTGTACTCTTCAGTCTTCTGTACAATCTGCGGCAGGGTATGTATGTGGTCTATGGTACTGAAGCCTTTTCGGAAACCGGCTTGTTCGGGAGGCTGGAAGTCGTCGAGTCTGCGTGCGAGACGATTCGTAATGACTCTCGAAAACAGCACGTAGACGCGGCTCAGAAGGGAAATCGGTCTGTAGTTCTTCAAGAGAGCGTTGTCGCCTTTCTTAAAGAACACCACCATGGAGGACGGAATTGAAGAGCTTCTGAAGGACTTCAAGTACCGGTGTTCCACCCGCTTTCAGAAGCTCCGCTGTAATTCCATCCTCGCCTGGGGCCCTGCCGTTTTTAAGGTGCTGGAGAGCCATTCTAATCTCGCTTAGACTGACGTCCGGGATATCATCGGAATAGTGTCGGATAAGACTTGCTCTTGGATCGTTACTCACACTTGCGTGTGGCTCCAACGATGATGTGTACAGCTGCCCATAGAACCTCTCAATCTCACTCAAAATCTCAGGTGTCTCGGAAACGATGCTGCCACACTCAGTCTTCAGCCTTGATAGTTGGCTCTTTCTGGCAGACAGATCTCTGGCAAAGACTTTGGAGCCCTGGTTCCGCTCGATCGCTTCAGCAGTATTAAAGTTGCGTAAGTCTCGCCGCATGCATTTGGAGATCTGTCTGTTCAGTTGCCTGTATGCTGTCAAATCTGTTGACGATTGCAGCCTCATCTCCCGTCTAACAGCCATGAGATTAAGAGTGTGATCGGAGAGTTTTTGTGTTCTTCTGCGGCGGGTCTTGCAGAACTTAGCTCCGACCGCATGAACAGTTTCCACGAGCTTGTCATTCATATCGTCCACTGCATTGCAATCTTGTAGGCACTGAAAGCGGTTGTGTAACTCGAGCTGAAAGTTTTCGGGATTTTGGATCAGAGCACGAGGGGGACGGAGTGTGTTAGTTCACCCGATAGAAATTATTCCTTCCCTTCTTGTAGGTGGCGCGATGTTCTTCACTACTAATTCACTCAAGACTTTTTACAGTGTAAATAGAAAGTTTATCAATAACTCGATCACAGAGCCACCTATCGAATCCTAGAATAGCTATAAACCATAGTCTCGACAAGACAAATACATTTGTATGTGACCGTATGCGTTTAAATATTATCTCAATCGGTCAATTTGTTTAGAAGTAACAAGATAATAATAATAATAACACAACAGTCAGCGCCTTGCGAGAGGTGTGAGCGCCGTGCCGCGGCAGAATTTAGGGTGCAAAGGCCCGTTTGTGCTTATGGCCACACACGATGCGACGCCCAAATAATGAATGATGGATAAAAAGATAGTGCGCAAAGGGCCGCTGCTTGGGGGTCGCCGGGGCGCGTCTGGAGCTAGCGCTGGACGCGGCAGCATGGGGGCCGGCAGCCGAGCGCGAGGAGCTGCACGGCCACCTAGCAGCCCTCCGCATCCATCATCCCTACCAGAAGGCTTGGTGTCGGCTGGGTCTTCTCGGACTCAGCAAGCGGCACCCGCTGCTGGTGGAGCACGTCGCATGCGTTAGTCACAAGCAATGAACGCAAACGCACTGCGGGCGTACTTTAGGGCAAAAGGGGAAGAAACTGGATGTTTGGCGTATCGGGCTACGACGTGAGGCTGTTCCCTCATCGGATGAAAATGCTACGGCTGAGGATGCGGCGCCACAAATTCTAGAGCAACCCGCAAACGTGGATGCCGCCGTGAATACCCCAGTTGTGGTTGATTCAAACGATGATGGAACAGTCGCCCAGGAATTGGAATTAGAGCATATGAGGAGTACATTGGAAGAGGCGATTGTGGAAACGCGCAGTACGCCTCTCGAAAATCGACCGCGACTTCCCCGTCTATACGGGTCCGCACATTCGTTTAGGGATAGCCCGTCTATAGGGCTATCCCTAAGCAGGAATGTGCGGAATCGGGCTATTGTGAGGGCTCTGAACTCAATGCTGGTGACCTATTTGGAAGCCAGCCGGGACCTTTGCGAGACGGACTCAATTCTTTTTAGCGCCGCGCTTGCAGTCTGCCGTATTATAGGCGCCAAGGTTTCCACGGCTGGACGCGCTACTGGCCAAAGTAGCGATATCTCAGCATGGAGAAGAAGAATTGAGGAACGTATCGCAAGGGCTAGAGCTCTCATCGGCAGACTGATATGCTACAGATCAGGCAATAATAGGCCAAGAATTGTGCGCACCGTCAGCGATGGCGTTTGCTGGGACAAATATTTGTCCCAGCCGGATATAACGCAAAAACTGACGGAGCGTATAAATGATCTGAAGCAGAGACTCGCTGCTTGGGGAAAGCGGATTTGGCGATATACCGAGAGGTTGACACGGTTCAACCAGAATCGGCCTGTGGTCAGAGACCGTAAACCACAGCGAAGGCCCTTGGACGGAAGTTGTGGCGAGTCAGTATGCGAGTATAACGCCCATGGACCCCGTCATTATAACACCGGGTGACGTAGCTGAGGCGGTCCGTAGGGCCCCGAACTGGAAAAGTCCGGGACTCGACGGGCTGCATCACTACTGGCTGAAGGGGTTCGTGGTGTGTCACACTGTGCACGCCCGACAGTTTCAAGAGCCTCTCAACCAGAAGTCGCTCCCAAGCCCCTTCACTACTGGGACACCCATGTCGGCTCCTAAAGAGGGTACCACAGACCCGAGCAAATACCGCCCCATCACGTGTCTACCGACCATATACAAGACACTAACATCCATTTTGAGCGCGAGAATCAGTCGTCACCTGGACTCAAATCAGGTGATGTCGCGCGCTCAAAATGGATGTCAGGGCGGTGGTCGTGGAACCAAGGAACCACTCCTCATTGACGCGGTCGTTGGCAAAGTGGTGAAATGCATCCGTCGGAACTTCTCCGTCGCCTGGATAGACTACAGAAAGGCATTCGACTTGGTGCCCCATACATGGCTAAAGAGAGTCCTCGAGCTGTACAGTTAGAGACTTCCTCGAGCAGTGTATGGGGCAGTGGAGTACGATGCTTTGTATTTTTTGGCGAGCGGATGATGGCTGTGGAGAACTACATAAGGATTATTTATTTATTTATTTATTAACATAGTAAATACAATTGGTTCAAAAAACATTAAGTTCGCCAAACTGAGAATACAGTTTATTGGCGAAACTACACTCATTAAGGTTTACAATTGCATTTTAATATTTCTTTAAAATAAATTTTAAAACAAAACATATTAGTAAACATATAAAGTAATTAAAAACTAAAGACTAAGTAAGTAAAGTACACTTATCACTAAATTAATAACAAAGCTTTAAAAGACAGAAAACGAATATCTTAAATTAAATTAATAATGAATAAAGATTAATAAAATATAATTAAGATCAATAATTAATAATAAACTAAATATTACTACTCCTAATACTACAGGTCGTCGATGGCATTCAGTAGCCAATATTTTAATTTGTTTTTAAAAATTTGTTTTGTCCGACAGGCCTCTTGTGGCACGTTTTTATTAAATATTCTTGGCACTAAATACCTACGCGTCCTCTCACCAAACTAGTTTTGCGCACTTGGTCCTCAAACAGTTTACGAGTATTCTTTCTTAAATTACCATAAATTGATTTCCTAACTAAAAATTTACTTTTGTATCCTTCAATTGCTAATAAATACTTTGTTTTTTCACGTACTGGTAGAATATTCGTTTGATTTTTGTATAAGCATATTTCTTATACAATAGATTATAGTTACTTTACTTTTCTCTTTAGCTTGCTTATTAACTAACAGTTTAATAAATCTTAGTTGAAGATTATGTATCCTATCCATGTACGTTCGGAACGTACGTCCATAGGCTGAAAGGCCATAATTAATTACAGAATCCACGAGAGCATAGTACAGAATGCGTAAAGTTGTTTTATCAACTACACTTTTAAGGTGTACAAACTTACATAATAACGATCTTAATTTATTACATACTCGTTCTATATGGAAATTCCAACTAAACTTAGTATCTATGGTTAATCCTAGATATTTGTAATTATAAACCACCTCAATCGATTTACAACCAATGCGTTGTTTATTTCTATGCAAGCAATCATACGAATGGCCTATGATATTTATAGGTATACATGGTTTATGCAGGTATGGCGATTGAATGAGCATGCATTTCGTTTTCTCTATATTTAAAATTATTCCATTATCGTGGGACCATTTGATTACGTTATCAAAATCCGATTGTATTTTGTTCTCAATCACCTTTATATCCCTGTCATCATACATCATGCATGTGTCGTCAGCATACATGTATGTTCTGCAGTTTTTTACAACGTTTACCATGCTATTTACATGCATGATATAGCCCACAGGGCCAAACACAGAGCCAGTAGGAACTCCAGTACTAACTAATTTACCGTGACAAATGGTTTCCTTTATCTTTGTGCACAACATTCTGTTATGTAAATAATTACGAAACCATGAGCTGATTGGCCCGCGGATTCCGCACTCTTCCATTGCCACCAACAGCTGCTAATGGTCCAGCGTATCAAACGCTTTTTTTAAATCTATGAATAGAAGAAATACATACTGCTTACTACCTAAGCATTCGTTGATATCGTCGGTGAAAATAGATAAGGCCGTCGTTGTACTACGTAATTTTCTAAATCCGTGCTGCTTTTCTGTAATTATGCAGTTTTTTTCTAGATACTCACTAATTCTCTTAACTATCACTTTCTCCACTATTTTATTAATAACAGACAATATTGCAATAGGTCTATAGTTTGAATAATTGCAATGGTCTCCTTGCTTATAAACAGGGCGGATAATAGACCTTTTTAAACTGTCTGGGTATAAGCCTGTTTTAAAACTAAGGTTTACAAATTTTGGTAATATTGGACTTATTTTTTCTTTAACTAAAATTAGATCTTGCGGCCTTATTCCATCTAAACCTGGTGATTTTTTACTATTTAGTTGACTAATTATTTTTTTTATTTCAATTTCGGTTACCTTTTTTATAATAGAAAGTGGTATCACTCAATTTTACATAGGACTCGCGATTTAGAAATTTAATATTACATTGATGTTTTATTCTATTAATTTCTTTTGTAAATGTTTCTGAGAATTTTGAACATATGTCACTTAAACTATTGATTTTTCCTAGATACGTAATTACTACGTCATCTAAAATATTTTTACTATTTCCTAGCCAGCAATTTATTGTTTCCCATAATTTCCTAAAGTATCCCTGACAGCGTGATAGTTCCTGCCTTCTATAATTATTTTTAGCTTTGTTAATAATTTTATTTGTTTGATTTCTGTGTTTCGTATATTCTAATCCATAAGTAACATTTTGAGGACTAGTCTTCCACCTGCGGAATAAATAATCTCTTCTATCTATCAATATTTTAATTTTTTTTATAGATCCACGGCTGTATTACTCGTTTTTTTTTCTATTACAATTAAGGCTAACTTAAGCTTTATCGTAGATAGGTGCAAAAACATTACACAATTGTTCGTAAATTATCAAAGGACAGTCTATCTCTACGAGCTTACTCCAATCAACCTGCTCTAATTCACGAGTTATTACTTTATTATTCAAAGTATACATTTTATATTTGCCACTACTAAGACTTATTCTATTTACCCCTTTTGATTCTTTGGTAATACATATACCTACCATATAGTGATCCGACAACTTACACGTAAACATATGTGATGCGAATCGGCGGCTGCGTGTACGTACCCACACATGATTAATGCACGACGTTACGAGTCTACCAGCTAATATTTCCTCGCGAGTACAGTCATTGATAACGATCTGCATTCCGTAACTATACATGGCGTTTTTGTATTTATCGGTGGCTGTATTTTTTTTCTAATAAGTTGATATTCATGTCACCTGCAATAATGACGTCCTCGTATTCGGGAATTTGCTTAATTAGTACAGATAATTCTTGAATACAGCATAACTTATTTGTGTTTGGCGGTTTGTGTACAGTGATTATGTGTATGGTGGTGTCAGAGCTCTTAAGTTGACCGTGCAATATTTTCAAACCACAGCTTTGCGGGTTTACTGTTTGCAGGCGCAATTCATTTTTAGAGTACGCTAATAAGCTTCCTCCTCGTCGATTTTCTCTTGTAAACCCGTGCATATCGTACCCATCTATACCATATAACGGCAGCTCCGCTTGTCTGATATTTATTTCACAAAATTAGTGCGCTCAAGCTATATTAGCAATTCATTAAACTTCTTCCTAAGAGAACGAATATTTAGGTGAATTATTTTTAGGTCCTCCGTGGATGTTTTTAAGTATGTGCTCCACGCATTTGCATATAGAAATTTTTTATATGTATTTATCCTGATGTGTGATAAAATATCATCCACTTTTGGAATTAGGTATTCACATACAGTGATGCTTCCACAATACTAATTTATTGTGTTTTATTTACTATACGCTGCTGTTATCAGTATTGAAACACATATTATTGATATCTGCATCCGAACGAATCCAGCGTATTTTCGAGCCTTTGCGCGAGAGTCTTTTTTAGCCAAAACTTTAAGGTTTTGTGGCCATATGTGTTTATAGACGTCTTTTAATATTTTCTTCGCGTTCCATAACAATTGTCGCGTATTTTTAGGAAGATTTTCATTTATATACACCCGCTTGCTATTGTTGTTGCCGAGAATTTCCTTATTGTATACTAACACTTTTCTTTGCTTTAGCCATTCATCTCTAGCTTGCTTGGTTCGTAGGGTTACGACTATAGGTCTCGGCTTACCCTCTTCTTTCTTTTCTCGATCTACCCTCTTTGCGTCCTCTATATTACCAATGTTTAAATTTAATTTCTGTGCAACAATTTCAACAATTTTCTTTATATCTTCCTTCTCTGACTCATCCAGGCACGCTATTTCAATATTTTTCTCCACTTCTCTTTGTTTCAAAAACATTATCCTCTCTTCTAAGGAGTCGTTGCACTTTTGTAAATACTTATTTCTATTTTCCAAAGCAGTCATTTTCTTCTCATCGGTTTCCTTAAAGTTAAGCATCATTTGGTACTGTTCAGCGTAGAAATCCACGGCCTCTGTTAGGTCATCAATTTTCTTTTGTGTTTGATAAATTATTTCCAGTTTTTTATTGACCTCTGCTAGAAGCGTTTCGGCACTAGCTTTCCCAATATCTACATTAATTTTAGGTACTTGCGTTTTAGGGCTGATTTCACTTTTGAGACATGATTCACACAGCTGGGTTCTTTGGAACTCCTTTACGTTCGATAAGCATTTTTTGTGATACACAGAGTCACATGAACCTTTACACTTAATAACATCATCTTTTGCTAAAGAAAACAAATAACTTGCACTTTCTACACTGAACCATTTCACTTGGTACTACATACGAAATACAGAAATAATAATGAGCAACACGTCCGTATGCTGAGTGCTCGCCCGCGGAACTATAATAAGATAAGAAGGGGTATCTTCCAGGGCGATTGTCTGAGCCC